TTTAATTTTGACCTAACGTTACCTTCGAAGTGACGGTAGCAGCGGAGATGTATTGCCTTTGTAAAGCAGGTGGACAGTGCCTCGCGAAGGCTGTCAGTACTCGCCATCCGTTCCAAAAGTTACTAGATCTTCTAGCCTCGTTACAATGCTCCTCAGTTTGCTAAAGCACTGTAAGTAAGTTTGCTTAAATTTTGTGTGGTGAATGAAAATAGGTTCTATGAAAACAGGACACTTACCAGTCTTTTACAGATTTCAAAAGGACGTTTCTATAAGAGGTCGGTGTTACACTAAAATTTCCAAAGTTAAACGTTGGATTGACTGACAAAATGGCTGAAGTCCACATCTTGCGTGCAGAATCGCGATAGGTCAGCAAGTTGATTATTAGTTGCCAACAAAATGAGGGGCTCCCCAGACAATTCTTGCATTCGCACAAAGTCTTTCCCTTCTGTATGAGCGAACCAGTTTAGAGTTGTTATCTCATCCGTTTCTCTAGATCTGCGTTCTGCATAGGACGATTCCACACGCGCCCGTTTCATGTCATATGCCTGAGTCCTTCCGCGGGGTATATCAGCATTTGAACTTGCGGAAAGAGGTCCTCCCAGGTCTCGCCTTGTTTTCGCTACCGCTTCGCTCACGGGGTATCGCGAGAGATTTTCTTTGAGCTTTCGTCGGACAGAAGGTTTTGTTCTAGTAAAAAACTTTTTCCTTTTCGCATTCCCATGAACAGTTGGCGCGAGGTCGTGTTCCATCCCGGTATACGCGTATTGCAGTAACGCTACATTTTTAACGATATCTCCATTAAAATCATTTAGATAGGAAATTGTCTAACGAAAGTCTCCTTGCTTCCTGTATTCTCGCGTGAGGTGGTATTCATTTTTTGTTTACGAGGATTAAACGAGAGTCCCCGTTCTTTTTCCACTTACCATCAGAAGGATTAGTGTAGGTATGAGTCACTTGTCCGTTGTTCACGTACAGACCGTTGCCGTTCGCTGGCAAATCATCGACAGGTATAACTCTAACGTCAATCAAGAAGGCAGCGTTATACTTTACTTTCATAGGTTGAGGGGTCCACTTGGCCTCGTCTGGCTGATCTTTAAACAAAATGTCCAAGATTTCTCGAGCTTTAAAGCTCTTTCCATTTCTTGGTTGAATAGAAAAGAGCGGAATTTATTGTTTTCATCTTGAAACGTTCGTGTTGCATCTATTTCTTCCGGTGAACTGTCATCCTCGGAAGTCGAGGAAGCGGACACATCGCTGCAATGTAACTGCCTCAATTTGGGGATTTGCAATTTCGATGTTATTTCGAGATTCCGCTTAGCGCCAATTCAGGATTTTAAAATTGTTCGGCCACAACCTTCGTATGTAACACCTTTCACCTTTTCTGGAGAGTCACTGATAATTATTGGGTTGTCATTGTCCCCAGGAGAACTGTGTTGTTCTGCGAACTTTTTTTTCGCTTCTGCAGTGATAACAGAGAATATAAATAATTAATTTGTTTATTATTAGTATTTCGCTATGCTTCAATGACCTTGTCTCAGATTGTTCAAAAACTGACAGGTGAATCCATGCGTGGAAATGAAGTTGGAGTTGCGAAACGAGATGAAACCGGCGTTGATTGTTTTGTTTTCCTTTTCTCTGGGTTCTCTCTCGGGAGTTAAAAATGCCACTCCTGAAGAAAAAGTAGGCAGATCTTCATCGGCTTGTTCGCTTGTTGCCGTGTCTAGTTTCACTTTTTTGCGGAAGTTTTTCCCGTATTTTTTTTTTGACGAAAAGTGCTGAAGTCACTCGCGAAATTCAACAATATATAGGTAGATTCTTCGAAACCACAATTTACTGGCGGGGAAATGCGAGTGCCCATTTTAAGCGGACCGACACTTTACAAAGTACATTACACCTCTAGGGCATTATACGTGTAGTCACCCGGAGGGCTGAAAAATCTCTTAATTACATTAATTTAAGAAGAATACAGGGGAATTTTTTTTCCAGTTCTAGCCCCTTCCTTCTGAGATTTTCTTAAGACACACTATATAATAACTTATGTTAGAAAGAGCCTCGAAACACTCACATTTACGCCTCATTGAATATGGCTGCCCCAGAAATTAAACAAGGCAGAAATTAACTTTACACACGAACATGTGGATTTCTTTCAGGAACAAATGTTCACTTTCGTTGCGCAATTCACACCAAAAAATTCCAAAAGCTTATCCCGTTAATGATGGATATCTTCCACTAAGATCCACTTTATGGTGTCGTACAAAAGTCCGAGCAAATTTATGAAAAACATGGCAAAACCTCGGCCAGTTGCACAGAGGGGGGGCTTGTAGACTTGTGAAACCCTTCTTATCTTTCTATCTCTATCTGCCTAAAATCTCGCAAAATGCCATCGACATCACGGCACCACGAGTTCTTGAAGCGCGAAAGCTCGTTTTAGGACGACACTTTCAACTATGGGAACGATTCACTTATTCGTATTCCAGCCTACCCAAATATGTATTAATTCGCAGCTGTATTAACGAAAAATGCCGAAAGAGAAATATCATAGGAAAACTCTCTGCACTTTCCCTTTACCAGTACAGGGAAGAGCTTATCCGTTTCGTTAAGCAGTGCCTTCCCAGAATTGAAATTGTGTAAATGGCAGACTGACTAAGGCATTGCTATATTTTCTTTGTACCCTTTTAATGAATAATCGAGATCTCGATTGAAGGGACGCTGACCCTGTTAACATATAATTTGGCGAATGATTTGCTGTTTATTATTTAGTTTCACGGCCGTTAAAAAATAGATAATTTAATAATTGAAAATAAACAAAAGATGACATAAAAAAGTCGATAAAAACAAATGAAGCCGGGGATTCGATTGTTCCTCGAGGATCTACGGGTAACTTCGCATACCCTCGGATAGTTTTCGGTTAATCATCGGAGTATATTCGCAGTTCGTACACTCTTCGGAAAATCATCGGAGTTGTTTTCAATTAAAAAAACAGACGTTGAAATATTCCGACGGAATTCCGGCGGAATTCCTGATTCCAGCTCTAGCGAAGCAGTTTTGACAAGCGAGTCAAGTGAATCATGACTAATTTCCACCCTGTTTCCACGTGTTTGGGATTGCCAAATTGCGCCTAAATTGAAAACGGCTTCCATCGTTTTTCTCAGGAATTAACAGATATTTCAAGGAAAAAACTGCATGGCATTCATATAATAACTAAAGGCTATCTATATGCAAGAGACGAGTAAATTTGCTTTTTTTCAGCTTTGCCGAAGATTTGCGATTTTATTTGATTTTTGCACGGATCTGCTTTTAAAAGCTGTTTGGTGTCTTGTGATTGGACAATACTGATCTAGAAATTGACTTTTTGACATTTTCCCACGGTGCACTGGAATGGCTTACTTCCCACCACGACTGGCCGAATACATGCCTTGTAACAGCACAGTAAGCTATATTCTGTTAGCGGATCAAGGTCTAAAATTGTTCGCTCCACAAACAATACCTCAGTTTATCTACATGGCGGACGAAACTCTTCAAGTGAAAAGTAGAAAACCAGCGATTTTTCAATTAGAAGAAGGCGGCGAGTTCTTCATGATTGGAAGCGAAGTTGGCCATGGAATGGGTTTAATGAAAGGAGCTCTCTACAAGAAATTTCCTTCTCTATGGCGCCGAGCTCCGACGATCGAAGAAAGGAAAATTTTGCTTTCCTTAAACGTTGGCTACAACAGTATGTCAAATTCGAATATAATGCTGGTAAAGGCATCTGAGGTGGAAAAAGTGATCAGAGGAAGTGGTGAGCAATTTATGGAAAAGTTACCCAACTCGCCAAATGACCGAAAGGTGAAAGACTGCTCAGCGTTTTCGACGACCAAATTTCCCTGGGCCGCTTCACTTTCCAGCAAATTGTTCTCGAGAAGCGCTCAGTTCTTCCGTTAAACATCTTAGTGCGGTTTCTTACCAGACGAGGAACAACAACAAGTCTTGCAGCAGGTTTGATTGGAAAGCTCGTGAAGAACTACGGAAAAAGATCTTGCCCAGTCTAAGGTAGGTTAAAGTGAGTGTTGTGTTCCCGACTTCCCGTTATCTACGGTTTATGAATCTTAATCTCGTGAAAGCGTTGTTGTTTGTAAGCCTCTCAGACTGATTTCTCCACTAAATGTTTAGTGAGAAACCTTCTAAAGCTACTGATTTTGCCACATGGAGAACGCTGCAAAGACAGTAGCTATTTAAATCATGGTTTGAGAAACAGCTACAGTTGTCTTAGAGACTTCTAGCTGAAGCTTATATCAAGCAATGTTTGAGATCATTTAGCTTCGAAGTATACTGTCTTGTCGTCATTTCGTTCGTAGAATAGATGCTCTCATAAAATGAAATGACTGAAAAACGTTCTGTTTGGAAGTAAAATGTACATGCTACAATCAGGTCAGTTTCAATTAAAAAAAATCCCCTGTTTTCGCAGCAAATTATTGTAATACCAAATTTTCGTCACATTTTAGAACAGTTTAGCGTGACTTGATAAAAGCTATGAATTTTCACTTCAAGTAGCACTGATTTCTTGAAATTAAAACTACATCAACGGCATGGCTCTCGTACATATTGGACAGCCTCGCCCATTTAGTTCTTGGTTTTTAAAAACTTTTCATTCCTGCCCTATATTCTATGAATATTTGACAGTTATTGTACAGTTTCCAAATTCTTCGATAACTTGGTTTTGTTCGGTAAATGAGATCACCAAAAAAAACTATTGCACCATCGAGAGTGTTATCGCAATTTTTAACGTTCGACAAATAAACGGAAAATCGTAAATTGTTAGCCACCCTCTAACGCTGTTCAGATTCAGTTTTGCATTGAACTGAATTTTAATGATTTGTATGTAGCATTAGAAATGAATTTTAATCGTAAAAGTGTTGAAAGTGATACGGAATGAAATGAGAGACGTACACCCGTTTCAACCGTGAAACTAACTACAACTTGTCACTCTCGAAGCACTCTGGGTAATCGTGACATAGAGAAAAGAAAGATGGCGGTGCGTACATATGGTCAAAAACCGAGTTCTTTTCAGCTCGAAGATGGAGAGCATTATATGATCGGATCGGAAGTGGGAAACTTCCTTCGAATGTTTAGAGGATCCTTATACAAAAAGTACCCTTCTTTGTGGCGAAGACTTGCGACACTGGAAGAGCGAAAACAAATTGTACAGTTAGGTTTAGGACACAGTAGCATAGCCACAAATGTCACTTTGTTGAAAGCTGTTGAGGTCAATGAAATCTTAGAGGGAAAAGACGAAAAGTATAAAGTTTCCACGGAAGCACCCGACGCAGCGTCAAGGAATCAGGGTGGTAAATCAAAACGGAGCAGTCAGCCGACTTGGGCTCCACAAACATTGTTTTCGAGTAACTCCTTTCACCTCGATGCCGTACCATGCTCTTCCACTGTAAACAGGAATCGGATAGGTCCCAAGAGGATCAAAACATTTCCCACCTGGTAAATTACTGATTGTTATAAAACTTTGTCATGAAATTTGAACCTTTTCATGGTTGATGATAGTAAGAAGGTTGATCTTTTTTCCAGTTTTATTTTGTTTTAATTGGAAATTGGCAATTTTTGTTGTTGTTGATTTGGTTTTCATGTATGAGAAACTGCCACTACTGTTGAATAAGAATCAACAGCTGATTGCAAGATGGTGTTGTATTTTGGGTGTTTCTTGATTACTCAAGGATCATTTCTCTGAGAAAGTAGATAAATGTAAAACAAGTAAATTCCATGTTGCCATGGTTCTGCACAGTAAAAGATTACTTAAGACATCGAAATGTGGTAAGAATATCAATGAGACACTTGGCTGGGCCTCGCGTGTCACTTTTTTGTGTTTTTATCACATTTTGACAACATCTGTTAACTATTACTGAACAGGAGTTTGAACTCCCTAGTTTGCAGAACAAGAGATTACAAGATATTTGTGTTTTAATGTATTAAGCTAAGAACAATCTATGTCCCTCCTATGTTAGTGAAATTTTTATTAAGCATAGATCTAACTGTAACCTAAGGCAGTCTGATTTCTCCACTGCAAGGTACAATACGGTAACATATGGCAGGCACTCCTTCCACCATTTAGGGCCCTAATCTCTGGGGAAAATTATCCCCAGACATGAGAGAAGTTACTACCTTAAAATGTTTCAAAAACAAAATACGTACATTTGATTTAGTCACACTAATGGATAATGGATGCAAGTGATGTCATCTTTGTAATTCATAGACACATTTGTCATACTGTAAATATTGTTAATATCATTTATACCCACGTTTATATTTAAATTTCTTTTTTACCTTAAAATATATTTATTTATTTTGTGTCCCCTAATTAGCACAGGTTTTAAACCTAAGCTAGGAGGTTTCTTTAGACACCTTAATAAAGTTTCATCATCATCATCAACTGATGGAATCTGTTTGTTAATTTGACCAAGGTATTTCCCATGTGATCCGTATGAATCATTTTGACACGGATGTCAATGTTTGTTTGTTTTTCATGTGTCATTTACATCTTTTATGTGTTTATAAAGAGCAGACAAGTTGAGCCAGTCAATAGTGGAACACTATTGACTGGCTCAACCAAATTTGGAACATTGGTTGCTTGGAACACTGGTTGCTTATTATCCTCATAGATAAAAAGTTATTGGCCAATGTGGATAATGACTACTTTAGTTTGGTATTACACCAAGTAATACTCTGTTGTTGTATTTAAGTTATGATGACCATGACATGGCTGCCATCCATGAAGCTGCAAGTCAACCTGAAGTCTTGGTGCCCATTAGGCTGGACATAGACATTGATGGACAAAAACTACGCGATACATTCACATGGAACAAGAGTGGTAAGTTCATGTTTACACTAGCTGTCAAGTGCACTTTAAGGATTATATGGTTTGTGGTTGTGGGAAGTCTTTGTGTAAAGGAGATCATAATGACTGAGGGAATTGAGGTCTACAGTTTTAAAGATTGAGAAGAGTTCAGAAAGGGATTTCTAACTGATTTCTTAAAGCAAACAAAATTATCCTTAGAACAAGAAAAATTTATACCCCGTTGGGAAGGATTTTTATTTGTGGCCTAGCCTTACAAACAGCAACTGACAATTTTCTTTTCCAAATTTAATGAGCATTGGAGAGAAAACTCCTTAACCGTTTCATGGAGACTTACCTAATATAGTTTCATGCAAAGGCATGGTTGGACAAATGCAAGTTGATAGGAGTATTCAACCTTCCCATCAAACTTCATGTTCAAGTTATGCATATCACACATAGGATGTAAAGACAGCTGAATGACAATAACTCTCAAAAAAGAAACAACAACTTTGAGTTTAAATTTACAAGACATGTTTCGACATTCTCATGTCATCTTCAGTTGCAAATGAGCATTTAACGGTTGTACATTTGAATTTATATTAAGGTACGTTACAAATTACGTG